CAAAAAGTACACTATTCTAAGCAATGTACAGACAAAACTCTTATTTTATTTATATAGATTAGTGAAAATTCACGTGACTTCATTTTTTTTTTTCAGTTTTACTTTTCAATAGAACACGTTATTGCGTGCTAGCATGGGTTACTTGCGGCATTTAAATACTACCCTAATATTTGTTGTTGTGTTTTTCAATTATCTATCGTTCGTTTCACAAAATATATTTTTCCCAGCAAGTATTTCCTTAGCGTGGTCAAAATCTGTACAAAAATTTTCACCCAATTGCGGCTTTTTAAACCATTTTTATCTTCACATATTTACAGTCTCAACAGCTTAATGGTAGTAGAGTTTGTAAAAAATACGTCCAAATACTATGTGTTAATCAGTAGTGTAGTCATATAAAAAGTGCTTCTAATAAAAGATTTTCAACAAGCAAAATCTTAATGACACACTTTTTCAAGTTTTAATCAAGATCACAATAATGGGATTTTTTACAACACGTTTCTACGATTTAAACGTAAGCATGCTTTAAAAGTATTAGCAGGCTGGCTAAAACAAGGTTCACAACTCTTCATGACTGTCATGACTAGATTTTGTATTCACAGCAACTAGATTCATGATAACCACGTTTTGTCAAGTGAAAAGGAATCTTAAGGCTGTGGTCCATTTGATTTTTTTTCAACATTTTCTTATTTTATTTTTTTGCTGTTGTGTTGAGCGCAAAGGTGCAGAACACATTATGTGTTCTGCCCATTGGATATCGAAATTCAATTTTCTTTCGCGATATAAGCTCTCATCTTTACCGCTGAGCCATCGAAAACATTTCAGTAAGTGACACATTGCCATTTATGTGTCTGTTCAGTGTTTTGTCTACTTAAAGTTTAATAATTAGATTTTTACTTTTTATCTCGGTTGGTTTTTGGTTTTGGTTGTTTTCAAGTACAAAGCTACACAATTGGCTGTTTGTATCAAAACACGATTTTTTGCGTTATAATCCTGTAGACTTACCTCTGAGCCACTGGAGGACACCTTTTTATCTCATAAATAATTCCAAATGAGGATAAAAAAGGTCTCAGGTGGCGCTCAAACTGTGGTTATAAATATATTTCTAGCCAACGAAATATAAATAACTTGCAAAATTTGGTCTATAAATCATTCAGTAACGAAATATTTATTTTTGCAGTGATATTTTCTAAAGGTTAGACACGCAATTAAATATGACAAGTTTAAATGAAACACGTTCTACCTTTTCAAAGATACATACATCCAGTCTTGTCATCACAGAGCTTCACTTTAACAGCACAGACCTGATATAATCGAAATACAAGTTCAACAACGTAACAAGTAAATGTTTAAGCCGTGAAACTAGATACATTTTTATGAAGACTGCAATTTGGATTTTTAGTTTCGCGACATGTTCTTTATTCGCTGACTTATAGTCGAGTAATAAATAAAGTTTTATATATGAAACTAGATATATTTTATGGAATCTACACTACTTTACCCCCATTCTGATGACACGCACTGGTTTTGGCAACACATACATGCGTGACGCGAATATCCTGGAAAAAATTAGTCGTAAAACTGAAACCATTATATACAGTAGCAATACAGATAATTATTTTGTTTAGGTAATAATAATAATAATAATCTTGGCATTAATTACCCAGTTGAATGAGAAAAGTTTGAACGAATAGTTATTGATTATAAAGAAGCAAGTTATTGTAACAGGTTCTGTTATTGAGAGGGTTCTTTTAGATTATTCTGGAAAAAGAAGGATGCAAAGTCCAATCCACTTATCGATAACTCAAGCGTCAAAAACAACTAAACTTACACTGTTTCGCCAACTACAGATAGGCCTAACTTCCTAAATAACGTTAAATAGTTACTGATTTTCCTTTTCATTTACTAATTGCCAAAGAGTTAGTCAAAGGAAAATTTTTATAAAGAATTATTAGAATGTGATACATTCTGTGTACAAATGGATGGATCATGTAATAAACAGTACTTGGGTATTAAGTATATAACTGCACGTTTGGTAAAAATAAGCGACAATGTCTGAACTAGATTCCTTAGGACACTAAAACCGACACAAACAAAATATGCGTTATTGGACTTTTCAAATGTCTTGCTAAATTTGTATCCAGTCTTGTAAATATGACATCATAACCTAAACTGATGAATGACAATAAAGATTCTGGTGATTTGGTTGCTTATGGTATTGTTACGTCTCCGTTTGTTAATTAACTTTCCGTAACTTCGTTCCGACGAAACTTTAGTGACACAAGTC